GGTGTTACAAGATTATCTGATTATGATACTCAGCGCGTAATACCAAACAATTATCATATGCTGTCGACAAGCGGTCAGGCAGATATTAGGCGCATGATAAACAATATAATATAAATTAATATATAATTTTATAATATTTCTACAGGATGCATTTCGGAGAGTGTGCGCAGGAATTACATAATTTAATTCCCCACTCTCCCTTTCACCATCGGACAACCGGACGTTCGGTCAGTCTCCACCCTTTCGTTGTTGACTTACCACACATTCAAACCAAACAGTTTGCTATATCGTTCATTATGCATACAGCAAAGGAGTGGAATAAGTTGCTAGTATCTGTCTTTCCATCCGATTACAGTGTGGGTGTCTTCAAGGCAAGGGTGAATAGGCTTTTATTAAGTCGGTGCGCTTCCACCATCCACCATCTTAGGCTACATCACCACTTACCATCAGGTGGGATTGTAGAAAAGCGCTGGTTTAGTAGAATATAAAAAATAAAGCAGAGATATTACTGGCCAGGTATGGAAAAAGTTGTATATATATATATATATATATATATATATATATATATATATATATATATATATATATATACGACTTTGTTAGCCGTTGTGACCGACGTATGAAGCAAAAACATTCTAAACATATTAAAGAGTCAATGGTCATAACAGATACGGGCTATTCCTCTTTTGATAGAATTTATGTAGATTTATTGGACCCATTAGTTAAGGATGTAGATAATTCGTATAAACTCACATTACAGTGTGATCTGAGTAAGTAGGTAAAGGTTCATCCTCTTAGAAATAAAGACACTATTTCAGTAGCTTTTGCGTTTGTTAATAACTTTATCCTAAGATACGGGATCACGCGACAAATTATATCTAACCGGGGCACTGAGTTCTTTTCTTCTGGTTTAAAAGAGGTTTTTTTTTATAGGAGAGGGGGCAAACGAGCATGCGGCTCACCTGATGGTAAGTGACTACCGCCGCCCATGAACAACTGCAACACCAAGGGAACCAGGGGAATTGCAGATGCGTTGCCGACCTTTTAAAAAGGAGTAGGCTCTTTTCTTGAAGGTCCCTAAGTCGTATCGGTCCGGAAAAATCGCTGATGGTAATCAATTCCACAAGGAAGTCGTGCGAGGAAGAAAACATCTTCTAAATCGCACAGTGGTGGACCGCCAATCATCCAGATGGTGTGGATGGTATCGAGAGTTCTGTCGTGATGTGCGTTCGTGAAATTTGGCGGCTGGGGTTAATCCGAACAATTCCTCAGAGCACTCCCCGTGGTAAATGCGAAAGAAAATGCAAAGAGATGCAACATCTCTTCGCAGCGCCAATGAATCGAGCCGATCGGAAAGGACTCGGCCATCGACGATTCGAGCCGCTCTGCGCTGGATACGGTCAAGTGGAAGGAGCTGGCACTGGGGAGCCCCAGCCCAGAGATGGGAACAGTATTCCATGTGAGGCCGAACCTTTGCCTTGTAAAGTTGCAGTATGCGATATTCTTAAAATCAAGCAATTAACATTAACAACATACCACCAGCAATCAATAGGCAGTCTAGAAAACACACATAAAAATCTAATTTCATATTTGCGAATCCAACCTAATAATGACCCACAATTTTTTTATTTGTATTTAGTACGACAGTACACACAGAAACTAAATATACGCAGTTTGAACTTGTTTTCGGAAAACCTTGCAATTTACCCAATAATTCAAGAACCGTGATAGATCCCTTATATAATAATTACGACCATCCTAAACAACTTAATTATAGATTAGAAATATTAAAATGTAAAATAATAATTAAAAATTAAAAATTTTGTACAGTCGACTTCAATATAAGTTATAAAGAATAACTCAAATAACTCAAAAACTATTGGTCTGCCCTTGATTAAATTGGCCAATGACATATGGGACCACACGAGAAGTATCAGCTTTCATATAAAAAAAGAATCATCGAAATCGGTCCACCCAGTAAAAAGTTATGAGGTAACACACATTAAAAAAAAACATACGCGTCGAATTGAGTACCGTCTCCTTTTTGGAAGTCGGCAGATAAGAAAACACAAATATGATAGCTATACCAATCATGTTACATACAATTTTGGTGATTTGATACTAATAATAAAGGAAAAAAATGTAAACAAAGTCGATCCTCTGTACAAAGGACCATTTAAAGTTCTTGAAAATTGTGACCCAAATCTAAAAATAAACTACAAAGGAAAAGAAATGTTAGTACCTATATAAGAATAGAAGTAGACCTTATAAATCGATGTAACAATAAGAGTTTAAGTAACTATATACAAAAAAAAAATGTTTTATCATTTTCATATTAAATAATATTTAGTAAGTCAAAAAAATTTTTTTTGTTTATGATTTTTTTTCTTTATAGCCGATGGGCATGTAGTGTAGTGGTGTAAGTACCTAAGTAGGTTACCTAATAAAACTGAGTTTTAGTAGGTATAGGCATTAATAAATTGCACAGTCATTGAACAACACGTTTTTCATTTACACCTGAGTTCCCAACACTAGAGCCCCTTCTCGGGGAAGGATTTCTCCTCCCCAACTTCCTTCCCAGACAAGGCGCGTTCAGGATCACAAGGCATGCCTTCATCCAAGGCCTTCAACTCCACCTGCGTAATGGGCCACCCCGAGTCCGATACGCGGAGGCCATGGGGCCAGGAAAATTGAGCACTCGGTAGAACCTGCTCTCTCAACATCAGCAGTGGATCTGGTCACTGGCTACGTCGCCAACTAAGTTTCGGCTGCAGTGGTAGGGGGAGAGAGCACCCCTCTCGATGCAGCCCACCGACACATATACGAAGTGGACTCTCCAAGATCACTCGGCGTGGACACCTCGGGCTGGCCCTACACCACGGCCTAGCCAAGGGTTTTCTCTTTGTTCAACGCGGGTAACTAAGCTACTAAGCCCCCCCCCCCCCCCCCGCCACAACAAGGCGGGAACCCAGTCGAAGGGGATAGAGGGAGAAGGGAGGTATAATATAATAATAATAATTTATTGAGACACACATAAAGAAACGTTACACATATCACAATTTTACAATTTGATTACCTTTGGTACAGAATACGAAATGTGCAGACAGTGATCTTTGACTCCTGTGCTAGGAAAGCCTGTGTTACAGGAGTCGATGCTCTTCATATCTCTTGTCTATATTGTACATAATATATTACTTACAGTGTACAATGATTGTGTGTGCTCCTATGTTGCGTGTGTGTGTGTGTGTGAATATATATTTATATATATACATATACATATTTGTTTATATGTATGTATAAGTCATATTTGTACAGTTTATATATTAGTAAAATGTATATATTACGTAGCTAATTATGATTTTTATTTTGTTTTTATTTTTATATTCCCACACCTACTTCAAATTCTCACTACTCCATGGATTGACTGGTAGATGCCTCAAGGCATTGAATCCGCCCTTTGTATTTTTTGTCATCGATATATATGTACTACGTACTAGATTTTGCATTCCGAACATTGATTGAACTGTACTGCAATCTGTACACTAAACTAAATATTGCGTAAATTGAAGATTTGTGAAATTCCATAAGATAATTATTATTTCATTTTATTTAGAAATATGTTTGTTTAGATTAAAATAAGTGTATTTTATATTAAATTCTTATATTTATTTTATCATCATCATCATCATTACAGCCCTTCACAAGTCCACTGTTGAATATAGGCCTCCCCCAAAGAATGCCACAAAGCACGGTCCTGAGCCACCTGCATCCAACGACTTCCTGCATATCTTACCAGGTCGTCACTCCATCTAGTGGGGGGACGCCCTACACTTCGCCTGCCGGTACGAGGCTGCTACTCGAGAACCTTTCTTCCCCATCGGTTGTCGGTTCTTCGAGCTATATGGCTGGCCCATTGCCACTTCAGCTTACTAATCCGTTGGGCTATGTCGGTCACTCTAGTTCTACTTCGGATATCCTCATTTCTGAGTTTATCACGCAGAGAAACTCCAAGCATAGCTCGCTGAGCGACCTTGAGCTTCCTCATCCGACCAGCAGTGAAGGACCACGTCTCAGTTCCGTATGTCATCACTGGCAACACGCACTGGGTATATTTATTTTATATTAATATCTTATTTTATATTAAATTAAAGTCTTCGCGCATACGCGACTACTATCTCGTACTTCCCGCGCATGAGCGAAGACATAGAGTAGCGCACAATTTTTGTTTGGAATAGCTTCTCTAATACGTAGTACATATAACTCAATGGTATTTGTTTGTTTTAAGGACTGCAATAAAGAATAGATAAATAAGTAAATAACATGTAATTACATGCTGTGAGGCTTTCCATTTTAGTACTCAGAGGTGACAAGACCTCTTTCGCCTTCTTTGTATGACGTTGGTATTTATGGCCAGTAGTAGCCACTTGCAATCTGCTACCAAATGGACTGTCATTTCAGTTTTATAAAAAAAAAAAGTTTTAGTAGCGTTGATAGCATTCGTAGTCGGCGGCGTCGTGTCAGGTCGCCGGCTTCCCTTTACATTTAAAGTCCAGGAGGCGATGGGTGCCACATGCGTCATACTTGTGAACAGGAGCTGCTTGTGTAGACTGGTCTACTCGGGTTGCAAAACATTTTTTACTTTGATTTTTTTTGACATGTTGCCACCAATTTTCCACTACACCATGGGTTGAATATCAGAGAATGCTAACTGGCATTAAGGTCGCCCTTTGTTACATTTATGGCTAGAGATAGAGTTTTTAAATAAAAAATAAAATAAAAAATAAAATAAAAATATCAGTCGGATCGTGTGCCCGTCAATCACTTGTATAAAAACACTTCCGTTAGAAAATCAATTATTGGTGAATTCCACTTCTTGTGTATACAATAAGATCCCAGAACAAATTAATCTTTCAATTAAATCAAGCTCAGCAGCCATGAAATGAAATTACCAGCAACGTTAGCTCGCACTTCGTAATGATTATTTGGAATTAAATGTAAAGATGTATGAGAGGCTGGTGTACATTTTGTTTGTTTTAAATATTCTCTCGGAAGTAGTTGTAAGTAGTGTTTGAAATATGTTTAAAGTTTATAAATTAACAAGTTTATTATGTTCAAAGTGATTAGTACATAAGTGGTAAATTTAAAAATTTTGTACAACCGACTTTAATGTAAATATAATGTATTGATGATTTTTTTAAATACTGATTTCGATAAAATTTAAATGGGACCACCCGGGAAGTGTATACCTTTGAAACAAAAAAAGAATTTTCCAAATCGGTTCAGGCGTCTTTGAGTAATCTGTGTACATACATAAAAAGAAGATTCCGACGAATTGTAAACTTCTCTTCCTTTGTGAAGTCGGTTGAAAAGGTTTATTAAAGAAAATTTGTTAAAAAAGGCTTTATCATAATAAAAAGAAATACATGAATAGATGATAGCATGTCCAGCATGAATTCCATTAAAGTTCGTGTAAAAAATTGTAGATAATTAATGTAAAGTTATCTATACAAATAAATAAAATTGAAGTGTCTGTTTGTAAAGTCAAAATAATAGGTTTTTACTAAATGCATATGAAAGTTTATAGGGAACTTATAACAAAAAACTGTCTATCTGTCTGTTTGTTCCGGCTAATTTTCGAAACGGCTAGATCGATTTCGACGGGACTTTCACTAGCAGATAGCTGATATTATATGGAGTAACTTAGGGTACTTCTTCTTCTTTTTCTTCCTTGCTTTGTCCTTTTATTTGGGGTCGGCTCTCCTCGTTTTCATGCGCCAAGATTTCCTATCTTGGGTTGTCTGTATTTCAAGCTGGGCTCGTTCCAGATCCTTGGATACGGTTGTCCACCACGTCCCCTGTTTTTCTTTTTCTCTGGAATTGCCAAAGCCTTCCTCACTGAGTGTTCTTCTTCCCAACTCATTACATGCCCATACCATCGCATACGACTCTCGACCATCTTATCTACAATGGGCGTAACTTCAAAGGAACCTCTGATATACTCATTGCGCCCTTTATCAAGTCTCGTTACGCCTGCTGACCATCGTAGCATTTTAATTTAATTCGTGTGCATCTTTGGCCGCCCAGCATTCGGCACCATATAACATGGCCTGGTCATGGCACGGTCGTACAGCAGTTTTGTAAATCTTGCCTTTCAGTTGTATTGGCATCCTGCTATCGCAAACTATTCCTGATAGGGTTCTCCAATTTAGCCACGCTGCATTAATTCTGAGAGTAAAGTCTGCGTCAATGTTGACATCCGATGTTAGCACTGAGCCGAGGTATTTAAAATTGTTGACGCACGGTAGTGGCTGGCCGTCGATGGAGACACTTATGTTAGGCGTATATTGTTCACTAAAACTGCACCTCAGAAAATCGGTCTTGCTCCTGCTGATATGGAGGCCATTGTTCTCGAGAGCCTGTCTCCATTGCTCGAGTGTAGCTTGCAATTGAATCGCACATTTGTCGATGAGCACAATATCGTCTGTATATAGCCACGGCCACGAGAGGGGGGACTGGATATCTTTAGTTAGATAATAATCCAGAGATAGGTTAAATAGGAATGGCCTTAGCGCCGATCCCTGATGCACTCCGACCTTAAATAGGAACGGTTCGCTAAGTCCTGCCAGGCTTCTCACCTGTGTACTTATGTTTTGATACATATCATGCACCAAGTGAATATAGAGTTCTAGTATTTGTTGTGCTCTCATAGCTTCTCAAACTAATTTACGTGGTATTCTGTCGAAAGCCTATTCCAGGTCTATGAACACTAGGTGGAGGTCTTCTCTGTTGCTTCGGTGTTTTTCCATCAGAATCCTTATGGCTTGGATTGCATCAGTCGTTGATCTTCCTGGCGCGAAACCACACTGATTATCAGATATGGACACCAACTGACAAAGTTTTACTACTAACTTAGGCTACTTATATTTAAAAAATAAATAAATAGGGTTCCGCGCAAAAAAATTAAATCCATAAATTACACGCAAGCGAAGTCGCGGAGAACAGCTACTTAATATAATAAATATAATCCCGCTAGTTTTCTTGCTAGTTCATCCGACAGAGATATTATCCGAACTAGTGGTAAATAAAAAAATACTTTTAATAAGTATTATTTGAATAATTTATATTTAATAAAAATAATTTATTGTCTATGTATTCTGTTTTATTATTAGTAGGGATTTGTCTTAGCGTTCTCGTCTCGACATAAATATGTTGTACCAAAGTAAAAACTTCGTAAAACTGGCGGCTTTTTTGTTTAGATATATTCTTATAGGATAAGGGTGACAAACGAGCACACAGTCCAACTAATGGTAAGGGGTTGCTGTGGCCCATAGACATCTACATCTATCCTCGATTACGAGTCAAAATGCAGATGTGTTGTCAGGACTAAGATAGAATGCCTCGTTTCCAGTAAAAAGGGTCTCCGGTTCTCTACACTTACCATACGAAACAAAACACCATTAAACTGCTATTTTACGCTGGTGTTATGTGAGAAAGTGGCCCTTCATCGATCGAACTGATTCGTGCTACTACTACAATTAATAAAACTGCAGCATGGCTCTACCACGTTTAAAATAAATACTGCAATATTATAATATTATTATTAACTTTTTTATCACTTCTACATCAACGTCAATTTTTTTTATAGGATAAGGGTGACAAACGAGCACACAGTCCACCTGATGGCAAGCGGTTGTTGCGGCCCATAGACATCTACATCTATACTCGTTTGCGAATCAAAATGCAGATGCGTTGTTACCCGTGAGGACTAAGATGGAATGCCTCATTTCCAGTAAAAAGAGCCTCCGGCCACCTGCAATATTGGTGATTGCGAAACGCAAAAATCTATTGAATTTTTGTTTTATTAGTTTTATTTTTTGAAAATCTTTGAAACGGATCGACCGATTGACTTAGAATTTTTAAAATTGAGCTCGAAGTCTCAATGAACACTTTTCAACGCCGTGTCGCTCGGTCGATCGGTTGATTAGTACTAAAGATATCGTACGACAAAATTTTAGTCGAAACGGCTTCCTAGGACCTCAAAACGAGATCTCATGAAAACTCGCATTCTCAAAATCGGACCAAACTCTTTAACTTCCTACTTTTGAAAATAATTAATTTTCAAAGCAGGAAGTTAAAAAAAATTCTGACTTGCCTTTGCATAAATTCGAAGCGCGTTAAAAAGCATACTAATGAAGAATATATATTTTAAATTAGATGATTATTTTAAAGATAAAAATGCGTTCACATAATCAGCTTCTTAAGACTGTTTGATTTATTTATGTTTACATTATTATATACGTGGTAGAGCCATGCTGCAGCTATATTATGGTTGTAGCACGAATGGTTCTTCTCGACCGGGGAAGGACCATGCTCTCACAGAACATAGAGAACAGGATACCCTTTTTACTGGAAATGAGGCAATCCATCTTAGTCCTCACGGGTGACAATGCATTTTGATTCATAATCGAATATAGATGTAGATGTCTATGGGCCGCAGCAACCATACCATCAAGTGGGCTGTGTGCTCGTTTGTTACGCTTATCCTAAAAAAAAAAAAAAAACATTAGAAGGTAGAATTGTAACTGTTGGGAGAAAAAGTCTACTTGTAAGTTTCTTGCTGCATCATTTGTAAGTTTCTTGCTGCGTCATTAGCATTTGTCTTTCAAAAAGTTCTTTGCGAAATTAAAGATCTTAAAAGTTTTTAATTATTTATGATCCGTGTAATAAACTAAAATGATGGGACTTACCTAGTTTGAAGAAGTTTATTTTATTACGCAGATCTAAGGTAATTAATTCTAAACATCTTTTTAATATTATAATAGATTATCGCAAAGTAAACTATAATAGTACTAATGTAATATTATAGGTAAGACTTCATTTAATTTTATTCTAGATATAAGGTCTATAATACCTTAGCTAATTAATTTTTAACATCTATACATATAATAAAACTGTAAATAGCAGATGTCTGTACATTTTTTATTTTTGTAATAAAAGTGATTGAGGGGTACTAAAAATAAGTAATTAAATACATTTCCACCATTTTTAGAATTTTCTGTCTGTCTGTCTGTCTGTCTGTTTGTTTGTTAACGTATCACGTATAAAGTACTAATTTATATCATAAGAATTGTTAAGGAAATTATAAAGTGTATCTTCGGGTTACATTTAGTCTTTATTTCATTAAAATCAGTTCATTCCATCAAAAGTTATGATAAATATTCTGAAGTATGGGTAGGGAAGTATAGGTACGAATTTGCTCAATGGTGGCTTTGTTTGAGTCATCAAGTGCATTTTAAACTAATATCATATCATAAATCATAGTTAAATTATGTAAAATAATGATATAATTATGTATATCTAAAACACAGTAAACAAAAGTAATAAAGAACGTATTAAATATATTATACAAAAATATATTAACCTCATTAACTAAATCTGAAGCACAATAGTTAACCCATTTCTTCGATAGATGGTGGTGTTGTGAAAATGTATTTTTTATTTAATCTTTGTTTTATTAAAATTGGTTCATTCTATCGAAAGTAATGATTATTATTTTGAAATGTAGGTTCGAATTTGTTCAATGGCGCCATAAAATCTCAGAAATAGTAATAAAAAGATTTCTGTGTAAAAAAAACGTTCCATAATAATTAATATATTTATAATTAAAACACAAAAAGAGATAGGATGTTTTCTCACACAAAGGACGTAATAGATGGAGTTGTACAAATTACAAACTTTTCTGAATTGCTGTGTTGAGATTTTTCGCCGATGAATCGTATTAGACTTACTGAAGAAATTTGTATCCATCGAAGCGATACAACGGAACCCGATCAAAAATAAAAATTTTGCAACGAAATGTCGTGATATTGTGTTTATAATACACGCAAAATCAGAACTGCCATTTTAGCGCTTTGGGAACTAGATTTAGCACTTTTTGGAATGTATAGCGCGCATTTCGAAATTTTAGCACCTAGCGCTTAATCCAGCGCTTTTTGGTGTATTTAGCACACATTTCAATATTTTAGCGACTAGCGGGTTATTAACTCTTTTATAGCAGCACTGTTAGTCCACATTACCGATAATAATAATAATGACCTTTATTATTTTTTCCCACAAATAGTACATTGCAGTTTATCTTTTTCAAACATATTTTTTCCACAAAGCAAAGAGCATGGGAGACGAGTCCAAACTAGGATACCCTGTGCTATGGATCTCCTGGCTTCCCCTTTAGGATGATCAACTTGATTTTTTTACCGACGACTATAAGCGGGGAAATCCCCTTTATTAAAGTTTTCGTTCATGGTTTTGGCAACGCATTTATTTTGCTTTATTCAGTTTTAGTCAGTTGCTTAGAGCACAGCTAAGTTAAAAGTTACTTAGAAGTTATAACACAAAGAAACTGTGTAGCAACCGCAATCAGATGCTGACATCTGAAACTAAGTTGCGAAATACATTGCACTTTAAAACAATTAATGACATTTTTATTGTTCGTACAGTAGTTACAGTAGTTAGCTGTTGACAGCAATTGCTATAATTATAAGTCGATGTCCTGCGAAGTATTGATACATCAAAAAAATATTGCCAGAAAAAAAACTTAATGTTGTTTTCTTTATTATGATTATATAAACACAAACTTTGTTTGTAGTTAATTTAGCGCGAAATCTAGGGCTTTTTTAAAGCGCTGTTTTCATGAAATCTACCGCTTTTTGTGTTGTCCTAGATCTGAATGAGTTTTTTTTTTATCTGGCAGCACTGCCCAAAAACCCTCTATTAAGAAGTAACTTTCCTTTCAGTTTTAAGCGCGTCCAGTTCCCAGTTACAGTGAGTGTGTGTTATGCGATGACCGTAAATAAAGCGCAAGGTCAAACTTTACGCGTTGTAGGAATGTACCTCAGTACTGACTGTTTTGCACATGGCCAACTCTATGTTGCTTTTCCCCGCGTTAGTAGCCCCCGTAACCTTTTTGTGTATATCCCGGCTAAGCCTACTTCTAACGTCGTTTACACAGAAGCTATATCATAAACGACTTAGAAATTTGATGATAATGATTTATTTTGTTACCACTTATTGATGAGTAATGAAATAAATCGTTTAATATTCTCTTACCTAAACAACAAATTCTTTATGTAAAACCTGTATACGCGAGCTACGCCGCGGGCACAGCTAGTCTTGAATATAATGTATTTACGCAATATTACGCCTGATTCTATGAATTGCTTTGTAAAAGCTAATTTTGAATAGAAATATTTTGACTTTGATAATTATTAAATCAGTAATCATAAAATCTTCTGGCGTTATCCATAGTGGGCTTACGGCAAACATGGGTTGAGAGGAGCTCATTATGTGATTTCGCTGATATATTGTTTACTTATTATGAGCCAGAGCTTTACCACAATCCCAACCAGTGGTCCCACACTGGGTTTTTCTTCTGTATCGTGCAGGCAGTTTACATATATAAATTTCACAAGGACAAACATCCAGAATGGAAAAATTATTTGTAGACCTTACAACCATACATAAGACATACTTTTTCCGTGTGGGATTCGAAGCCACGGCCATCAGTGCCACAACTCATTGCTAAACCACTGCGTCAAGTGATGATGAAGCCGTAGATGGTAAATCGTACTACTCTATTAGGCTGCTGACCGTATGAGGACACTCAAGGTTGCTCAGCGAGCTATGGAGAAGGCTATGCTCGGAGTTTCTCTACGTGATAAACTTAAAAGTGAGGATATCTGCAGTAGAACCAGAGTGGCCGACATAGCCCAACGGATTAGTAAGCTGAAGTGGCAATAGGCCGGCCATATAGCTCGAAGAACCAACAATCGATGGGGAAGAAAGGTTTTCGAGTGGCGACCTCGTACCGATAGGCGAAGTGTAGGGCGACTCGCCACTAGATGGAGTGACGACCTGGTAAAACATGCAGGAAGTCGATGGATGCAGGTGGCTCAGGACCGTGCTTTGTTGCATTCCTTGGGGGAGGCCTATGTTCAGCAGTGAACTTGTGAAGGGCTGTGATGATAATAATGAATGATGAATATTCTATTCACTCTTGCCTTGATAACGCCTGGATTGTAATCGGGTGTAAAAGAACAAACGCCGGCAAATTATTCCACTCCTTTACTCATAATTATGTAATACAATCTTATTTCAGAAGTGCACGCACGTTTTTAAACTGGACAATGATTTTAGCAAAATCAAGTCCGACCAGGCCCTTGCTAATCAGGTAAGTTTTAACTTTTAATAACTACCATTAAATTATATTGAATATTGTAGCTTAAATATCTTTAGCGAATTAAATATGTTAAAAATTTAATTAGCTTAGATCAGCGTAATAAAATAAAATGATACCTATAGTTCGAAAAAGTTTATTTTATTACGCGAATCATAGCTTATAAATTCTTAATACCTTTTAAATATTATAATAGATTTTCGCAAAGTAACCACTTGATTCTATTAACTATATGTTCGGCGATCTCTTGGCTTAGTAATATCTAGGATACCCTGGTTAATCTGAATCAAATCTCATTCAAAGATTAATGTCTATGTTGTTTTGTATAAAGGCATTGCTTATCTCATTTTGAAATATCTTCCAGCGGGCCCGATACCGGACAGATTCAAAATGAAGCAGATTTAGTGTGCACTCAGTGCGACCAGTAGATCACCAACAAAAGTGGTGGTCTACTGGTCGCAAAGAGCCGTGGTAGCTCAGATGGTTAGCGCTCGCTGTAAGCTTCACAGTACTCGAGCAACCCGGGTTCGATCCCCGCCGGCACCAATGAAATTGTTAATTGCAATTTTAAGTGCTGATTTACTACGTGCTTGGCGGTGAAGGAAAAAATCGTGAAAAAATATTTCAAAGTCATGTGAAGTTCGCCAACACGCATTGGGGCAGCGCGGCGGACATTTCCTTGCCCTAAAACCCTCTCAGAAATGAGAGAGGCCTGTGCCCAGCAGTGGGACGTAAATAGGCTGCAACTTTACTTTACTAGTCGCACAGTGTGGCGTGTTCTATGATCACTCGCGATTCACTAGCCCTCGTTGGTAACCGGTCCTTTTAGAAAGGAGTAGGTTCTTTTCTTGAAAGTCCCTAAAAATTGTATCGGTTCGAAAAAGTCGCTGGAAATTATATTAATTCAATGTCCTCCAAACCGGATTTCAGTCACAGTGGCCAGTCTCAACGGAGACTAGCCATCTGCGCAGAACAGGATTATAGTGCCCGAGTGTATGCGCAAGCACAGGTACACTCTCTATTCCCTTACTCTCATAGTCCGATGGGACGGTAACCGACACGACCGGCACCGAGGCACGGGGAGGAACTACCGCCAACTTCCTGACTCCGGGATGTAACTGAGAATTTCCAAGAAAATCCAATAATTGATTTTGGCCCGACCCGGGTTCGAACCCGGGACCTCATAATCAGCAACCGCTTTTACGACCAGTAGACCTACGAGGCAGTTAATCTAATCACATGATATTGTAACAGTTGGAGGAGGTGTTGAAGAGACTGAAGACATTCAAGGTGCCCGTGCACCCGCGCATCCGGCTGCTATACACTCTGCTGAAGAAAGGGATGGCGCAGTACTCCTACAAGACCGCCGACTCGTTCTTTGTGCCGTATGTGTACACCGCTAAAGGCGATAATGAAATTTGAACGCTAAGCTATACGGAAGTAGATTTTGTTTTCAATGTATTAGTTATAATTAGTAAGCATTTAAAAAATATAGACAATTTAAATTTGTATGTTATTTTAATTCGATTTCCCCTTTATGTTTTTCATTTATTCATTTTATACTTTAAAGTAAAACAATTGACACTTTATTGAATAGAAAAAAACATTAATATGAACAAGAGAAAAAAGCAAACAAAAAATACATGTATATGGGCGGTTTAAACGCTAAGACAAATCACTCTTAGCCTTCCAGATAAGATTCTAGATAAGAATAAACATTTCATAAAGTTTTGATGTTATTGTTAGCTGTATAAATGAATGTTTTTTTTTCAAAGATTAACTGTAGCCCATAGACATCTTTTACTTTTATCTTCGAGGATAGAAGTAATAGATGTATGGGATATCTGCATTTTGATTTTCAATCGCTTAAGAATCAAAATGCAGATACGTTGTCACCCCTGAGGATTAACATGGAATGTCTCGTTTCTCTGGGTCTTCGGTTCTCAACACTCACCATACCGTATTCTGTGAGGGCCACAACCATAACATAACTGAAGCATAGCTAGCTATAGCTCTACTTTATATGTTTATATGATTGTAGTTACAAAATAAAATGCAAAAACAGAATTTCTTGCCGGTTCTTCTATCAGGGTCTTGTTTTTAACAACCGATGTATATTGAGACGTTCGTAATACCTTTAAGCAATGGACGTAGCGTCCATGCTTTAAGCAAATCTAAATTTAATAAAAAAATCGATTTGATTTTGAATTTAAAGTCAAACGACGAGCTTTAAAATACTAAATAGTATTGCATATTCGTAGTTTACACAACCGTATCAACGGCAGGCTTGCCGCTCGACGTCTACATAGCAAAGCTTTCAGACATCTCGCGACTCGCTCTCGGAAGACATCTATTTTCACTACTGACTCGCGTATGATTGATTTTTTATATAATAAGGATGTCAAACTTGCACACAGTGCATACGATGGTAAGTGGCCACACCCATCTTTCCTCGATTGTAAATCAAAATGCAGATGTGTTCTCATCCCTGAGGACTAAGGCCCGTAAATAAACGTTTCTCAGCTCAAGTGCACGCACTTTGAATCAATCTTGAGGTTATGATCTTATTAATAAACATACTTCAAGTTGTGGCTTTGCGTTAACAGCTGAGTGACGAACTATTTAATAAAGGAAACGCGACTCTCAAGTAAACAATAGGTGCGTGTACTTGAGTAGCTAAAATCTGAGTGCAGGCGGTCCGTGACTTGAGATCAGAGATATTACGGACATGACATTTCGGATCTGGATACGGATACGGATATATTATAACGGAATAATATTATATCGGTTTCGGTTTCGGTATAAAATTATTTCTGATTATCAGTTTCGGATCGGATTGGATTTTAGAGGAATTTAACTAAAATACAAATAAGTCGGTAATCATTTTCTTTACGTGGTAGAGCCACGCTGCAGCTATATTAGTAGTATAGTTGTAGCACGAATGGGTCGGCTCGACCGGGGAAGGACCACGCTCTCACAGAATACCAGCGTCAAATAGCAGTTTAACACTGCTGTGTTTCGTGTGGTGAGTGTAGAGAACCGGAGACTCTGCATTCCATCTTAGTCCTCACGGGTGACAACGCAACTGCGTTTTGATTCGTAAACGAATATAAATGTAGATGTCTATGGGCCACAGCAACCACTTACCATCAGGTGGACTGTGTGCTCGTTTGTCACTCGATCCTATAAAAAAAAATTGTCTTTATTTCTAGATGATAATTTGGTGTATTATAATCAGTCGTTTATTTAAGTAATTATTATAGCTACCGACACATTTTTTAAGTTATCTACTTAGAAATGCGATACTAAAATTATTATAATCAAAAACAATGCTATTAGTTTTTTTTATTATACTATTCAATATCGTTCTAGGAACCATTACATCACGTCAATCAGTCTTCTTAAGTCTTGCGAAAAAATTGAAAAATCTAAGCTTATCATTACAAACAAATAATATTTTCCTCTTTAATTTAACGATTTTTGAAAGAAATTAAACCATTACAAAATATTTACTTAACTTTCATATATTAATGATTGTTTTAATATTCAAAAGTGAGTGAAGGTAAAATTATACTTAGCAAAAAGCTATTTGAGAGAATGGTTTGGGAATTCCCGACAATTTCAAAGTCCCGGGACACGGGACAGCCTATCATCAAAGTCCCGGGAAACGCCGGGACTTCAAGACTTAAGAAAAAACTTTTTGTTTTTTTTTTAAGATGTGTAAGCCTTTTTTGAAGAATTTTAATTGAGTTAATTTCTGGTGAAACGTATTAAAAAGAGGCAATTTTTTGTAAAAATCAACATTTATTAAACAATTAAACAGAAAACTAAATAACTTTAACGTTAATTTCAGTCTTAATAATTGCTTTGTTTATTTCTTTTAGTCACACGCAGATGCACTTCTAAACAGTTAAATCTTTTAGTTATGAAACGAACTTAGTTAAAATCATACCAATTCTTAATAACTTTATTATTACCATTGTTCATAATCTCATTGTTAATTCTCATAATCACATATTTACTTAATTTATTGTGTTGCGTACTCAGTAGATCAAGTAATTATTCATTAAACTAACACATGGCGCTAGGCTCCTTCAATTATTTGAAAATAGAAATGATTACATAACAATTTCAACAATCTTGTCTCGTCTCGAGTCTCGACCCGAAATTCCCGGGACTCGAGACAATTAAAATTATGAAATGTCCCGGGACCTCGAGACACGAGACGTCCCGGGAGCCAAACCCTATTTGACAGACTTATCGCCAGAAAGTCGATTTCTTAAGGGGTCACAAATTAACTCAGCAGCACTGACAAGCTGCTCACTTGGTACACTTCCAGGAGATGAAGACCAAATTACTTAAGCAATGGTACTTGGTATGCATTTTCCACCATAAAAGTGGATCGTCAATGAGTGACAATCGTTTCTTCCTGTTGTATACACTTAGTAATATTTTTTTACAGGATAGGGTAACAAACGAGCACACAGTCCACCTGATTGTAAGTGGTTGTTGTGACCCACAGGCTCAATTTACATTACGGCAGAATGGAAGCGTCAATTTCATCTAGTCGCGCGGGAAGCTGTGCGGAACGGAACGGAAGCGAATTTTTGTAACGAAATTGTATACAGTAAAGTAAAATGAGTTTTATGTTAATTGTACAAAGCTTAAACTAGATATGAGTCAAAAAAGTCGCGTGGCTTCCGTGGAATTCTCGAGGATTCCCCTAGCTACTGTTGGCGCAGTCTGTGGAATCGGCACGAAGGTTGTGGAATCCGCTGGAAGCTGGGAAATGGCACTCGCAGCAGTACAGCGTCAAGCGCCTACGCAACAGGTTGTGTAAGTACTGTGTGACTAAAAAACATGGATTTAGACGAAAAGTTGATCTTTTTCGTGGAAAAATGTGAATGTTTGTATACAAGCTAAGCGACGCGCAGTCGCTGAAATTCGGATTGCCGATTCCCGCGCGGCTTTCAAAGTTGACGCTTCCATTCCGCCGCAAAGTAAATTGAGCATGAAGCATGGAGTTTGAAAATTTCAATTTAATATATTTTTTAAATATTACGATGAAATAGAGAAAGATAATATTAAGATTACGGTTTGGCCGCATAAATATATAAAAGAAAATGGTAAATATATTAAAATATATGTATAAATTAAAAATACAGAAATAAATAAAATCCCACCACATGGAAACCCTCGGCATGGGAGACCAAACGAAAGAGGGTTAGGGGGACAGGGTAAGAAACCGATATTATTATTATTGTTATTTTTTTATTATCTACCGTTTTGAGGGATAAAGAAATAATACCATGCATGAATGATATATCTTATGTTTATGTAAGCTATAAATAAATAAAAATGTAAAAAATATGAATGCTTGTGGTGTTTTCTTGCCTACTAAATTTATGCTTAATTCTACAGGTATTTAAAATAACAACTCTGCAATCTTACATATACGGGGTTAGTTTGCAATAACCGGCCAAAGAACCATGCCCACTTTTCATACATTTAAAAACCTGGTAGTTAAAGTTTATGTATAGTTATAAGGTATAGTAGAAAAACTTCCTGTAAGTTTAGAAAATAATGTCATGTAGTCATTTTTACACACGATTATAACGCTACGAAGCCCAAAAATATTAATGTTACTCTTTAGGTTAGGAATTGCCGTTACCAAATACCTAATTTATCTTTCCCTTATTAATGTTCTATCACCACTTCCTCTGAGATTATACTGAGAAAAATCTTGTGTATCCCTACATATTCCTATTCTATATGATCTATGAAGAACACTCAAAATGCCACAATACACAACGAGACGCAAACCCAACACGTGATTATATTCTCTTTGGCAACAACGAAGGACTGCGCCGATGCCAATCGTAGAACTGTCAAATGTCAAAAAATTCGTTTCACTCGTGCGTACTCAATGACATACTGCATGATTAATTTATTAATTATTATGTTATTTTTAATTGATCTGTACTATACAAAGAGTAAAGAAATACACAATTAAATACTTATAAATCATTAAATACTTACAGATTAAATAAAACATAAAATAATGTTTAAAACTCAGAAACAGAGTTCAATTATGTCAAGTAGCAGTGGGTAAAATGGAACGTCTTAGAAAAAGGGTAGTTGAGATGCGTTCAAAATATGTTGGTAATACGTTTACCCTTGACGTAGAATAAGCTCAAATAAATATTAAAAAATATTTTTCTCCTGCGTTTCTTTTAACATTGTGATAAGCGTATTTAATTTACAATTCAATTAGCTGAATTTTATGATTTATTTAATTTCTATACATATTCAGGTGAAAAATAGGCATTTTTCTTTGCAGAGAAGGTTCAGAACAAGTAAGATTAGCAAATGGTAAAGGAAAATGAATTAAATAATCTCAAACATGTCCTTTATATCTTTTA